CAAGCTAAAGTGTAAGCTTTGCGTCAAAATAGCTGCATCACAATACTGCTTCCAAGTTTGATAAGCATGTAAAACAATTTTAAATCCCTCTATCTTTAAGAAAATTACTCCAACTGGGGCAAAAATCTCTGCCCTGAACATGTGGCTTATTACGAAGCCATTCTTCTATATATTGACATGGACATAAAGCTGACGCTAAATGGCGGGGTGAAGAAGGATTTCCACCTTCTTCATCGACTGTCCAATCCAGCCGTCGACGTAAATAGTCCTTTGCCCATCGTTGTACATAACGGCAGAATACTTGTTCACTCTTACCCTAACAGATTTTAGTTCGTTTTTCAGGAAACAAAATAAATTACTATTACAAAAATTCATAAATAGATTATAAAAGATGGAGTTTAATTTAATAAAATAAAATACCAAAGAAGAAGAAGGCATACATCTGACCCTCGATTTACGCGAAAATCTGTTCCATGTGGATTTGTTTTACGCGAATGAAAATCGCGTAAGTAGAGTCTGTCGGTACAAGAGAAGTTTTTGAAATATATATTTATTTCGCATAGGCAATCATGTGCATATAATATTCTAATTTACCACGTAAATTGAGGATCGAGTGTAGTTTCAATACTACGAAAATTTACAGTTATATTAAATGAAAAAATTCATAAATTTCAATAAAACAGTAGTTACCTGGTACAAAAAATGCTTACCTGTTTACGAGAGATTCTGGTAGTTGTGCTGCCTTGTATCACAATATCGCTATCATCAATATCCATTCGTTGTTGCAATTCCCTTTTACGACGCATTTCGGAATTTCCATCTTCGCCTATTACTCTACCCTCACGTTCTTCGCGTTCTATTACCTCTTGCAATTTTTTCTGTTTCAAAAAAATGTAACATAATTTAGAATTCTGATACTTTTAATGATGAATAATACTTTCACAAGCTGACAGTATAAAATAACTATAAAAGAAACGATTATAGAACATAATCAGCCCTAATAATTTAAACCAACACATACATCACAAAATGTTTAGTAACACTTACGATACAATCTGCAGTATCAAAGTATATGAAGCAGAGATTGACTTTATGACATGAAATCTTTCCTCTATCATCCAATCCAAGCAATATTTTATGTCGAAGTAAATGCTTGTTCACTTGAGCCATACATTTCTCAAGATTATGGTTTAACTTTATCTTGACGAACATGCAAAAAAATATTGCTGCAGCGTTAAGGACTAACCACATGACGCCAAGACCAAATAAAGTAAGACCAGTCACTCCAGAAAATAATAAGCCAAGCAGCACAATAAATGCAGTAAAGATCCAAAGAACAAGAATTCTTTTATAACATACATTGTACATATTGAAACGTACATCATTTACAAGCAATTCCATTATGTGTACGTAGTCTTCTACTGTAAGCTGCAAGAAATATATAATAATACGTAACAGTTAAAATTTTATGAAGGAGGAAACTATTTTGTAGACATAAAAACAAATAACACCATTGACATTTAATACCATAATATTAATGAATCAAATAATTATGTATATATATGTATATACATAAATATGTATATATATACCGTTAAACCCTGAGCCATTAATTCTTCCGGTACTAATTCTGGTCTAAATTTAGCTGGAGTAATCCATGGCCATCTAGTATTAACTGGTAAAAGAGTAACAATAGTATCTCCGTTAGCAAAACCTTGTCTGATATTTCCAATGGGTGTGCTTATAATATTACTTGTAGCGCTTCTGCCATTAGATACATCTCTGAGATCGATAGTCTTTAAAGAAGCACTTTTAGGATCAGAAACTCTTACTTCGGACGGTAAATTAAGATCTGGACTTTCAGATGTCATAGAACGGCTTAAGCCTGATCTATCTAAATTAATCTGGACGGATTCCGTTGATATCACAGCACCTTTATATTCATTATTCTTTGTCTGTTGATTATCTGTTTTCTCAATGGATTTCCCAATTTTCTCAACATTCACTGTAACTGATTCTGGTTTTATTACAGCTGGTGTATTAGTTTTAGTTTTCTCTTCCACACTTCCACTATCTTTAATAGGTGTTTCATCCTCAAATTGGACCCAATTTTTTGTTCTTGATGATATATTAGGTGAACTTGCTTGCACATTGTCAGTTGTGTCTTGAGAACTCATTTTCACTAAAGGAACAATATAAAAGAATTAAATTAAATGTATGACTTAGTTGTCCATCAGTTGTCATTATACTTTATAATGTGTGAATTTATTTGTGTAACTATAATAAGGAAATTGCCAATTAATTATGGTTTTACAAATAAAAGTTTATTTAAAAATTTCTTGTAGCATAATCCATAAAATTACATTCGCTTTTAATTACTTTAAATAGTTTTTTTAAAAAACAGGGAGTGTCCATGAACGTACAATTCTTCATTTGTACAAATATGTATAACACATCAAAACAAAACAATGACTTTTTAGATTAATAAAAGGAAAGTAGATAATTAAATCGACTCGCCTTTCATTCGACAGGTGATATATTATGAGTTTTCGCTACATTATTTGATCTGAAAGAAACAGTTCGTACATAAGAAGCGCGGAATATGCGCAAAGAACAAACTCGTGACCAATATTTGTATACAATTCTGATTATTGAAGAAACGGAGATAAAAATCACACGGAATGATAAGAATGCCGTATTGGTAGTTTTATCCATGTAAAAATGCATGACTGAGATTTGATTACCTGTTGTGATATGACCTATCTCATATCCGTGAGGTGAAAAGGTGCGTAATGCACGAAATCAAGGTGTGCAGCATTGGGATAGGAAAAAGGATGGGTGGGGAAAGGGATACTTAACGATGCGTAGAATAGTATAGATATACTTCTACTGTGATAATTTACCGTGAATGTGTCAATTTGATTATTTCTTTGCATACATATCATTATTTGCACACTAATGATTTATCATATAAGAGATAGTCATTCTATAAAAATAATTGTTTTAATTAATTGAAAAAATTGGTTGTCTTTTATTATGTTGTTTACTAGGAATCACATACTTTTTTAGTGCAGTTCCGTATACGTGTGCACTTATTCACGCAGAATACACAATTACACGGTTAATAATTAAATATACATATTCAAGTTACTGACCATACGTATAGATATAGTAGATATATATACAGACATACACGACCACGTATGCTCGTACACATTTCAAACTAGAGACTTATACAAACATCCATTTAGGTTGCCTGAAATACATATTATATATACACATACACATACACATGTGCAATGGCTGTATACACATGAAATAAGTAATTGTCATTACAATATTATTAAGCATACCATACGTGCGTATAGTCATATACGTATTATTAGAGAAATTATATAACGAAGCGTATGAATGCTGTTAGTCTTGTGGAATTGCAATTAAATATTTTATATGATGTATTGTCGAAACATAATAGCTCATGCTTTCAAACATGCTCAAATATTTGCAAGATCTAATTTAATTATTACAAATATTTATCGATTAAATTCAAGGAAAAATGCCTTAATAATGTGTTTACCACAAATTCACGAAATACAAATGAATTGTAACAAATTTCATGAACAACGAAAGACGGCGCGAACGAAGTTTGTTGTAATTTCCGGTACCTTTTTGTTTACTCTGTTTGGTTTCGGTGATGATGATGATGATGAAGAGAAAGATGCAGTTTTGCAATTAGAAACGACAATAAAACGATCGATTTTACTGATTCAGGTTAAGTATAACAAATGATAATATTATAATGTATCTTTCATTATAATTGGTAACAATGTAATTAAATGCTATTGAGTGAAAAACAAATACATTATTATAATATAATTTTATTGGTATTTTTTGTCTTTGTAGAAGAAAGAATATAAAAAAGCTGAACAAATGTTACATGTTGCTTTGCGACAAGCACAACTTTTACAACATTATGATGGTATAACGTATGTTTACGATGTAATGGCTAATCTTGCATTCAAGTTAGATCAATTTAACAAAGCAGAAAAATTATTTGTATCTGTTTTACAAAGATTAATGTCCAAAGGAATGACTGAAGATGATTTAGCAGTCGTTCATATTAGTCTTAAACTCGCTAACATGTATAGTAGAACAGGAGAAATAAAGTGAGCAAGCTTTTTCAATGTTGCATATAGTGTTTCAATGTTACGTACAGTAACATCATATAACACTTTTGTTTGTGAACATAGAAAAGCTGAAAATGGTTTCCAATTTTGCCTACAACAGTTACAAAAGCATATGGCTAAGGATAATGAAAATCCAGATGTTCTACAATTAGTGGGTTTAGCTTCAGAATGGTATGGTAGCTTGCTTCTTTCAGAATCACGATATATTGATGCTCTTAAGTACCTCACTGAAGCATATAATATAGCTATAAAAATTCTGGGTGAGGAAGATGAGCAAACTGTTATATTACTAAATGATTTGGGAACTGTAAAGTGTATGATGAAAGAGTATGATCAAGCTATTGAATATATAACTGAAGCAATAAAAATAGGTAATGCACATGCTATAGTTGGTAATCCTTCAATTATAAACTTCAGAATAGTTTAAACAATAAGTTACAACATTTATAGGAGCAGAATTACCAGATATGATTGACATAGGTTCTATTTATGTTAATTTGGGAAATGTATATCTTGAAAAAGGATTATATAAGGAAGCAAAAAAGAATTGTACAGAAGGAAAACGATTAGGAAAATCACAAAATCATGATAAATCTGTAGATGTAGCTGAAAAATGTCTTGAGAGGATAAAGGAAATAATGTCTCAGCAGAAAAGTAAAAATAATAATTAAAATTTTATTAATAAGAGTTTAATTATAATTTAATTATTACAATTATGTATAATTAGTAAATCAAGTGAAATAGAAACATGATTTTTTATTACAGTATAGAATAGATTATGTATTCATTTCATCTATATACGAAATACGCATTCTTTTTATCTTTTATTATCTGCATACATTTATCTTAAAACTACTTGTGTAAAATTAATGCATTATCTTTGATGAGTTTATTCAATACTTTTAATCACTCTTTTTCTCCTGATAAATCATTTTTATAATTTTATACAGTCTATTAACACACTACTATAAAGTCTTTTGCAAATTTTGTAAAAGTTTAATATAAATTAAAGTTACAGCCTTCATAATTTTAATAGAATATTATGTTTTCCGGTTTTTTCAGTAACTTATAAATTTATACATGTTAATATTTGTAGTAAATGCATAAAATAACACTATTTTCACTGGCAGTCGTATCATACAACATTTTTAAATTATCACTAATATCATCCATCAGTAAACATAATTATAGCCTTATAAAAATACAAGTTCTAATTTAAGGATTTTGTTATAATAATTAAGATTTTTATTAAGTAATATCAATCAAAAAAGGTATTATAACATTGACCTTATTCATATTTTGCTATGAGTACCATCATATATACACCAGAGAGAAGTGCAATAATTTCTAATACAGACTGTCCAAATTTGGTATCGGTTAAAAGTTCTGGTATTACAGATACTGTTGCAATATAAATAAATCCACCAGCTGTAAATGGAAGAATCCACATAGTTGCAAGATCATCTGTAAGTTCAAATAACATTTTGAATGGCAAATGAATCAATCAGAACTATGTTTATTGTAATATCGTGATTCATTTTTACCTATGCCTTCTGCAAGCAATGATACACAGGTTCCTAACATAGCACTGACTGCGGTACCAACCTGAAGCATCATAGCCTGTAATAAAGATAACATATTTATAATCTGCCTCTGACAACAGAGAATTCATCTCTCATATATCTTACTTTTCTCTTACTACAGCCACTTTGTATTAAAATAGCGAAATCTCCAATTTCATGAGGTATTTCATGTAACAAAATTATAATAGTGGTAATAAAACCAATATTGTTGCCAGCTAAATAACTGGCTCCAATAGCTAGGCCGTCTGTAAAATTATGTAAAAAGTCTGCAGCTAGGTTTAAGTATCCAGTAATTTTCATTTCATTCTGAAGATCCTTAGATTCCTTAGAAGCTACATCACATTTATCTGTATTTTTGTTTTTATTGTTTTTCTTTTCTTTCGATACATTTTCTGTGATGCTATGTACATGTGAGTGAGTATGATCAGTTTTTATAAGTCTTACTGCTTTCTCCACAATTAAAAACATGATTATACCTAATAATACGCATAAACCAACGGACATATCATGGACATGATGGGATTCTTCGTCATCATGGCTATGAGAATGTTGGTGTGAATGTGTTTCTTTAGACTCATTTGAGTGAGGAACCAAAGCATGTGGTATTAAATGTAAAAATGCATCTCCCAGCAGCCCACCAGATGCGAAACTTAACAATATCTTTAGCAATGGTTCACGTTCTTTTGTATTGTCTAAAGGAACAAAGAATAAAATAAGAAGTGGAACCACTGATATAATTAAAGTGGATGTAATAGCTTTAAGAAACACATTCTGTGTTTTGTTGGATGTAACTGGTTTCTGTTGATGAACATGTTTATTGTGCTCATCCTGAACTACTTGATGATGGTGTATTGAATGTTCCATGTGCACTTCATTAGCTTCCTTTGTGTACTTAAAACTTGGTGATTTATCATGACTGTGGGCTTGGCAAAGGGTTGGCAAATTTAATACTATAAGTGTCAGAAATATTGTAAATACAATTTTTGAAATCCATTTATTTGTATAATTGTATTGGTTATCTTCTGTCGCCATAATTATTTCCACAACTTTTTACGAATTGATTAAAATGTAATTAATGTTAATCTAAATCTTAATTTGATTTTAATTCTAAATCTATATTGCAGAGAATAACTTTTTGTGGCATTTATTAAAATAAAAACACAGCCACGTTGCAAGTTAGTGTTATCACAATGTGTTCAGTTCGTTTCTTGAAAAGTGATACTACATGTTGGCAATGCTGATTCACTGACATTGGCCAGCCTCAACATTTATAAATTTGAAATTTAAGAGATCGTTACAACAATGGTCCTATTACTTAAAGCTAAAAATTACACATAATTGCTGATTTTAGAATAATATATTGGTTAGTAGAAATATGTAGCTATAATACATATTAAGGAAGAGAATGTACAATAGGTTTCACACAAAATGTTCGTGTAGGAAAATTCGTTGCTCGTTATGGCGACTAAAATTTCAATTGGTTAAAATAAACGTAGAAATTGCATGCCGCTGTCAATAAACCAACGTTTTGCAAGGTTAGATAATTGAAAACAAAATTTTTATCAAGTAAATGTCTTAGATTTAAAAATATCTTACACATGATATCAAGATGGAACATAATACATTGAAAACTATGAGGTATGGATTTTGTGATGCCATTTTTTCAAGTTCACCTATTAATTTCGACAAAGAAAATACAAATTCTCTTAATAAAACGTAAGTATATCTTCTGCCTTCATTTTATTTCTTGTGCTATATATAATAAATGTTTATTTACATTCTATTCTACCATTTGTAGGGAAAAAATGTGCTCTGACATGTTTGACACCCCTTACAAAGGGATTCAAAATCAACAGGAGAACAAATGTTTGAAACTTGAAAAACGTAAAATATTTTTTAATAATGAATCAGTTGAAAATTCTAAATTAACAAACACACCATCTAATTCAAATCTTACACGTTCAAAGTCTGTAAATACACTTCAAAGGAAACAAGTTTTATTCCCTGAAAGTATATTACCCAATGAAAAATGTAAAACAACAAAGATAATATCGACAACTCTGTTAAACGATAAAACACCAACAGTACATTTTTGTACTCCTAAACAATATAAAACACGTACCGCTACAAGTACTACAAAAATAAATATTTTACCTGCAAGCAAGACACCTATAAAACGTTATTTTAGTGACAATGTTTTATCTGAAGCAACACCTGATTGTTTTAGTGTAGTACAGGTAGAAACACCATCTGTTAAATTAAATGAAGTTGGTGTAGATGATCAAACAGTAATTGAGGGAGAAAGTAGTAATTTGATTGTAGGAATACGTGTTAGACCCTTAAATGCAAAGTAAGTTTCTATATTTAAATTAATTACCCATATTATAAAAGTCATGATAGAATACTATATTTAAATGTAATGTTTTCTGTTTTGTTAATATAGAGAATTAAGTGATTCAAAAATCACATCAGTTGTGCAAGTTAATGACCAAAGTATCGTTGTCAATTGTGAATCTGTTCAACACACTTTCACGTATGATCACTGTTTTGTGTCATATGAAGATTCAACAAAAATTGGTCATGCCAGTCAAGAAACTATATTTAAAAATATGGTTCTACCATTAATACAAAATGCTTTCGAAGGATACAACGTTTGTTTATTCGCCTATGGACAAACAGGCTCTGGTAAAAGTTACAGTATGATGGGTCAAGAATCTTCACAGACAAATCCAACAGTGTTCAATGAAGCAACTGGTATTATACCCAGATTTTGTCAAAACATATTTTCAAGAATATCTACAAATATCAACATCACAACCACAGTAGAAATTAGTTATTTTGAAATTTACAATGAAAAGATACACGACCTTTTAACGAATGTTAACAATGGAGTAAAAAGAGCTCCCCTTAAAGTCAGAGAACATCCTGTATTCGGTCCATACATTGTTGATTTGAGTCAACATTGTATACAGAATTACAAAGATTTGCAGGTATGGTATTCAAATTTTTCTATAATCACTTATGTATATCACTACACATTATATATTTCAGACCTGGCTTAAAGTGGGCAATTCTCAGCGGGCTACTGCAGCAACAGGAATGAATGAAAAAAGCTCAAGGTCTCATAGTATATTTAGTATCATATTAACACAAACACAAGTGAATAATCATTCAAGCAAGGACCGTGTAGATCCTAGTCGCCGCAGCAAAATTAATTTAGTGGATCTAGCAGGCAGTGAGAGACTCAGCCAAACATGTGCCAGTGGTGATAGATTGAAGGTTTGTTTCATTACATCTGGATACATAGTTAAATTTTATAGTAACTTGTCTATATATAATATATTCAATTGTATGTTATAGGAAGGTGTATCCATTAACAAGTCACTGCTTACATTAGGAAAAGTGATTGCTTCTCTTGCTGAAAACACAAATAATCGCAAACGAGGTTTCGTTCCATATAGAGAATCCGTGCTTACATGGCTGTTGAAGGTAAGTGACATTAAAACAAATCAGAAAGATTATCTTTCTAGGATTACTTATTTATTGCTTTTGCTATTAATAAAGCATTCTTTAACAGTCTGTAAATATTATAATAATAGTACTTCTTTAGCATTCTATATTATCTCTACAATATACAGTGGTACCTCGACTTACGAGCTGCTCTACATACAAACTTTTCAGCATACGAACTTTCTTCGTAATCCATTTTAATCTTTAGATTCAAACTTAATTTCGAGAAACGAACCGTGATGCTTCTATAATCCTGCATTATAATATAATGAAAAACTGGGTTCCATGGTACAAACTTAGATAGATAATTAAGTCGAGGTACCACTCTATTCTCTAACATACTTATTAACTAACTATAACATTATCTTCAGCCAACATTTCTTCCAATATAGTTCCTTGTGTAAAGTCAGTCTTATAAATTATTCAATATCCCATTGAATATCCTCTTAATTCTAATTTTCTATGTAAATGCAGTTTATTAGATACAAGAATCGTTGAATAATAACGTAACATCTTTACCATGCTTCTTATAATAAACAATGTATTGGAAGAAATTTAAACAATCAATAATGCGTAAACCTATCTCATGCTCGTTACCGATTAACGAATCATTCTTTAATTAAATATATTATCTCAACACGGCAGAGCATTAATTTCTCTCGCACGCCTACCGTTTCAATAATAATCCACGTGTGTATACATTTTGTATATACATACCAATAAGGTAGTACTTTTGTCTTCTTCCATTCGGAAGTATGAAAAAATGACAAAAATAAATTAATCGTTATATCGCCGAAACTGTTTACGTATCGTGTATCCCGTATGCAAAGTTCATCGATATCTATAAGAGTCTACCCGAAGTGTATCGCAATTATGCAGCGTGCAATTATGCAAGACGATTTTAACTGTATTACGACTCCTTACGCTCCTCTTTCGAGTCGCCGGCCTTTGAACTTTCGTTTTCCACTTTCGACGGCTGATCATCACTATTTACATCATTCTCCTCCCTAACGTCCTGCTCGTCTTCTTCCTCGTGGATCTCTTTGCAAGAACTTCTCCGCGATTTGCCTCTTATGTAAGCCGCGAGGCTTCTTCTTTTGTTCTCTCGGCACAGGTGGCAATTCTCTTTCGACAATTGTTTCTGGTCGTGGTGTTGCTGCGGCAGCCGCTGATAATGATTCTGCGATCGGCCTGGAACACAATCGTATCCCATTGGAAACCGGTGCCCCTTTAAAAATAAACTTTCTAACATTTCCAGCTGACAGACAACGATCTCACGAGTCGCGGTTGAAAGTTAACGAAACGAATAATCAGCGGAAAAAATCGCTTCGACGATTTCCACGTATACGAGCATTCGATTATGACGCAAGTTCTAACAGACTATCGAAGATGTTTTCGTCATTGGCGCTAGACAGGAATGTTTCGTGAACTGTGTCCTCACGGGCGTGCCTCGAAGCACGTAGCAATCTGCCGACTCGTCGCTATTCAATTTAATTATGAATACTTTGACACGGGAAATGTCAGCATTTCATAATATCGCTTATCCTCTCGAAGCGAAGTCGAAAAGGAGAAATTACCGATTATTTGCTAACCGTCTCTTGCCTTATACCATTATCTAGTAATTTACACTATTGAACGTTCTCATTCGACATTAGTTATCTTACAAATTACAATTCTCAATTAATTTGAAAGTTGTGCCAATTTTCAGCGATACTTCTAAATAATGCGATACCCTTTGCGGACGAGAATTTTAAACTTCCGATTACCTTTTTCATTAAAAAAGCGGAGTATTAAATACTAGAAAAAGGAAAAGATGCGTATCAATGTTTCCTGATTAGAATAATTGAATTATTCATTGGCAGCTTTCGAATTTAGACGTCGAAGCTCGAAGTCGCCATTACGGCGGCATTCGATCGCGAAGGATCAACGATGCAAGGAACATCAAAATCGCTTGTTTCGTGTAAATCTCTCTCATCCGCTTTCTTGCGAGCAGCGGTGCACGCGATAAGACGCACGTACGCGTCTTTGGCTCCGTTTCACGCGTGAAATTTACGTCGTTATCCACGGATCAGCCGGTGCTCGAGAGAATAACGATTCCGGCAGATAAAGAAAGTCTCAGAGATAAAAATTGACGTTTGAGTAAGAGCGAATTACTCGGCTTACGGTTTATCTCGATCGTTTCCTGTTTCGGTCTGGGAAAGAAAGGGAGAAAGAGATGAGCAACATTTTTATCGCGATTCGATGCATCATCGTTGCAACGTCTGCGAATAGAAGGGAGTCACGGGAACATCCTTTGCAAATCGGTCGACTAGAAATAGACTCGTACGGGTTGCTAAAAGCACGTGAGTTGCAGAGTCCAAAAGCGAGTTTCGAAACACGCAAGGCGCTACTCGGATCCCGTCGTGCAACGGAAGATAAACTGGGATCTCGTTTATAATGCACGTTAGAATATGCACAGTCGAAAAGAGAACCTATAATCACTAACACGTTCGCGGACGCGAATGCTATATCATTCATTTCCATTTTGATGCAAAATTACATGAATGCTACAACATTGAAATTTGTAAGCCACGTTGTCTGAATTTAATTTCATATAGGCTTGATTTTTTGAAATTATTATGCACCCAAAATTTTTACTGTCTGCAAACGTGTTAACCGAATGGAGAGATCACCCACTTTTCCCTTAGTTCACTTTCTTTTGTTATTCAGCAAGTCTTGAACTGGAGATGTTTGCTTCTGCAAAACAATTTTCAATGAAACCTATTGCATCAATTAACCCTTCGCGGACTTTTATACAAAGCTTGCAACGTATGAAGCTAAATTATGCATCGAATACTTAAGCAATAGTAAAAAAGGGAACTACGCACTGATCACTTACTATTCAAATAATTAAATCGTTCGACCGAGATGTCGACATTTGTCCGTAAAGGGTCAAAGTTAATGGAGAAGATTCTAGTCGACTGATTAAAAATCTGGTTCAACCGTCTGCTACACCGTGATATACGTAACCCGATAATTTTCATTCCCGATACATAAAGATTCGACAATCTTTGTCGCACGTTTTCGCGTGTAATCACGACAAATTAACGGCGCTCGTAGAACCCGCAATTACCGCCGATTTCCGTAAGTAAGCGATTGCAATTCATGCGCTACGCCTTATTGTCACGCGATATTTTTACCTCCGGCGGTGTGATGCGCCGGTAAGTAGCGCTATATTTAGACGAACTTGTGTTCTTTTAGCGACGTACGCGAATAGAAAAAAAACATACGTCGACGGCGGAGTGCTATCCGAGTAAACGGCGTACGAGGATCCATCGCGCAATGGCCGCCGGTCGGTCGTTAGCATATTTCATTACGAAATCGGCGGCGACCGCGAACAACCGCGATCACGACCATCGTAAATATGTTTTCTTTAACGACTAGAGTATCGTGTTCCATTTGTTTACAGCCTCGCCTACTTACGCAACGTTCGCGGTGTAAACAATTCGTTACGGCCGAAACTGCGTTCCATATCCTGCTTCTAGAAATTATTACTAGAGCACCGATAATGATCGTGTCCGGACGTAATGTATGATAAATAATGCGAGACGTCGGCTTTGTGCAACCAGTTCTCTTCGACGATAACGCGAAGGGTGGGGCCAACTATGTAGAATACCTGTTGTTCGCCGTGAACACGCCCAACTCGAGGATCGCTCGAAATTACGGAGACAGGATCAGATTTCCGAGGAAATTTCTTGTTACAATCAAATCTGTGAATTTCTTTGTACTCCGCGTCGGAACCTGGTACGCCGTTCGGACAATTCGAAATTTCGATTCAACGGATTCAGGACATGTTTCTCTGTGTTTGCGAAAATATTGAACCGCATTCTATTGTTACGCCTCTGGTTGACTTTAGTAGCCAATTGTACAAATGTAAATTACTTATTACCGTTGATTTACTTCAATCTTACAAACCTGTGTACCACCGGTGGTACATGGTATGAACGCGTTGATCGAGGAATAGGAGAATTCGAAGTCCGTCGATGTTTTCGAAGTACTGAATGGTTTTTCCCGAGAAAATGCGAATTCCATAGTTTATGTTCAGTGACCGGTTACCATTGATTAACGAGTTTCAAGTTCAAAGAATAGATAACTCGGAAATGTCTGTGCGATTTTTGCTGCGTAATACGTATCTATTGACGAAACCACGTATTGTTGACGCATATCTCAATAATTGTTACCTGTGCGAAGTACGTCAACGATTTTCCGATATTCCAATGAGACGATAATGAATCGAGGATATTTGAATTTCGCTTTAGGAAGCCGAACAAAAATCAGAATCGCAAATTAGTGCATCGGCGTTACCAGATTCGTCGATGACGCCTCGGTCTTCGCGGGGATTCGATATTTCGCGATGGGAATCGGGAGCTCTCGTGCTTTTGCAAGAATTCGCGTCCTCGTTTCCCAGCGTTTCGCGCCATTTTCAGAATAGAAGGACGAGAAGATGCATTGAATTTAAATCGCGCTACCAGTTTGCTCCTCGGCCGCCGCGGCGCGTTTTCGCGCGAAGGTAGATCGGATCGGAAGGGAATTAGGGAAAACGGGTTGCTTAAGTAACGATCGAGATTCCAACGTGCTTTCACATCGAGGAACCCGTGGTTCCATCGAGGAAGACGATTCAGAACTTTCCTCGGCAGCGATCGGGGAAAGGTATCGCTGGAACGAATCGAGATCCTCGCCGGTTCACGTAACAATGCGAGACTACGCATTTTTCGCTGTTTTAATGCTCATCGCCTGAAAATGAAGACGATCTAATGATTTCTCACGTTAAAACAGGGACAGAAGTTTAGAAACTGTAGGAATATCAGCCTTGTAACGATCTGTTCGAAACGGAGAACCTTACAGCAGTCGCAAATGGAACAGAGAAGAAAATATTTTGAAAGTTGTAATATCTTATATAAGAAAGATATTAGAAGAAAGTATATTAGAAGTATACGAAATATTAGAAGAAAGCAATATTATAAAGAGCAGAAGATATTTTGAAAGTTGTTCTATCTTATATAAGAAAAATATCAGAAGAAAGTATATTAGAAGTATACGAAATATTAGAAGAAAGCAATATTTTAAAGGGCAGAAGAAAATATTTTGGAAGTTATTCTATCTTATATAAGAAAAATATCAGAAGAAAGTATTATATTAGAAGTATATGAAATATTAGAAGAAAGCAATGTTATAAAGAGCAGAAGAAAGTATTATATTAGAAGTATACGAAATATTAGAAGAAAGCAATATTATAAAGAGCAGAAGAAAATATTTTGAAAGTTGTTCTACCTTATATAAGAAAAATATGAGAAGAAAGTATATTAGAAGTATACGAAATATTAGAAGGAAACAATATTATAAAGTTACATCTTCCACAAGAGAAATTAAAGAAAGAACATTATTATATAAGAAAGGAAGCTAATTACAAAGTCGAACAATAGTGAACCATAATTTCACTCAGCCGAGCAGAACGAAGCCATTACTACCGTTCGTCATCACAATACCAAAACAGAATACGGCGCAGATAAAGTTGAACTTGCCGAGCTGTCAACGGCAAAGACTTATCCCTCGCGTTCAACCGGTCGCGTCCTAACGTAACATCGGCACCCCAAAGAAGCCCGACTCTCCGGTGAAAAGAGAGAATAAAATAAAAGAAGAAAAAGCAAGTTCACGCGATAAGGACAACGTGAACGCTCTTCCCAGCGTTCCGCGGAGCGCAGATTGACACGTGCTCCGAGTGTACGTTCTGTTTACACGCGGAGATACCGTTCGCCAAGGAATGTGTACACGGAGGAATAACAAGATCTAGTTTAATCGCAACGATTATTGCTCGAAAGAAAATGAACGGACCGTGCGGCGCCGATCGCACGCCACCTGCTCCCACATCCTCCATCGGGAAGTTCATGAATGGGAGCCGGTCCCGATACCGTATTCCTCCATGCAACACTTGTTTACTACGCACAAGCGAGGCGCACGTACCGTCGTTGAAATAGTTTGTATTCCAGGGCTGCTCGTAGTCCCTGTACTGTTGACCCCTGAGGAAGCCGTAGGTCAGGACTTCGGGGACGTAGACTAGATCCATGATCGACCGTGTCCGTCCAACGTCTTAGGAGGATCTGTTCTGCGCGTGGACCCTTTAATCCGATCGTTGAACGTCCCTCCGGGAAACTCGTCCGGCGATCCTCTTCTGGTAGCGTGGACTGTATCTACAACGGTATACTTCTTCCTTTCCTTCTTTCTTCGATCCGCTCGCACTCCTCGCAATGAGAGCCACGAACGAGCGAGCGAGCTGGCTTTACCTCGCCTTTCTAAAACGAGAACTTCCTCAGGCTGTCCCAGGTGGATCGGTACCAGTGGTCTCAGGTGGTTCTTCTGTTCTTGACCAAGGACAACGCATCGGTAAACAGCCGGGCACGCCGGAGCTGTCGTTGGATAGACCGGTGGGAAACTCGGTGTCTGCGAAATGCGACGACGATCGGCGCACAGCGTCGGATCGCCACGATGTTTTCCTTTCAACTAAACGAACGTGTGTGCGGACTCGCTGTGCACGTAATGTTTATCCGTCGGCTTGTCCCTCTCCATCGGCCACCGGCCTCACCGCTTCTCTCCGCGCCGCTCGCCCCCCCTTCGCCGGCTCGACTCGCCCCTCCTACGCCGCGGCGATCACCTTCGCGAATTGCATCGCGGATTTTACGGCTTTTAAACGCGTTTCCCTGGTTTACCTTCGCCTTTTCCCTTTTCTCCGGCCGCCCGGCCTGCGCCGGAATCGGCCGGCTTGCTCACCTTTGCCGGAACTCGCCGGTGGACCGTGGAAAACCGGTGCCGCTCGGAACTCACCTCGGATGGACCTTTAACCCTTTACGGACGAATGTCGATGTTTAGGTGGAACGTTTGTATTTGTTTTATTTAAGCAATGTATAATTTAGCTTCATGTTGAAGGTTTTCTACATTTCAAAGAAGCTTCGCAAAGGGTTAACACTTTGACTTCAAAAGGTGACTCGTCACTTGATTTTAGGGAAAACTGTAAAATCTGTTTCGTGTTGAACGTATAATGCGATACGTGAAATATTGGAGTAAGGTAGTTTTGTTCCTCAATGTACTTGTGATTTCTGTTAGTTTCAGAGAATATCGTCTTCGTCTTCCGAGGAAATGTTAAATATTTCTAGCGAACTTCCGAGTGCAAAGGGTTAACGCGCTAATCCAATGAATCTAAGCAAAATATTAGAACAATGTGACTGAAACGAGTCATTGAGTTCCTAGATATAGTGTCGTTGTTTATCATTTCTAATAACAGTATCTATAGGATTCATTTTATTTTCGTTGTGCAGAATATAGGGTTACGGCCGTCACAAGTATATGACGCTGGTAGCGTACGTGCCAAGCGTCACGAAAATTTTCACCATGCTTCCATGGAGTTATCCCTTTGTAGCACAGAAAAACAAGAACAATTACTCATTATTTGTCAGAATCTTTGCGTTACACTATTGTCAACTTAGTTTTTACCTCACGTGTAACGATTGTTTCCAAGTAATTCAGAAGCGTCACCAGTGACCGAAATCGCGGTTAACCTGTCAACCCTTTGGATCCCGAAGCGAAACCAGGAAAAGTGCGTTTCCTTTTTGAATAAATTAGCTGAGTTATCGCTTCTAGGAAACATAAATGTTTTTATCGTATTCAAAAATGCTGTTCCAACTGTCAACAAGATAGGTAGTCATTACTATTGGATTGACGCGGAAGGAAGAAGTGTCCTTCGCAGACGTTATGATAGTTTGCAAACATGCTATACCGGGTTGATGCAAAGATCCTGCCTGTTTTTGTTAACAGAAAAATTCGTTTCCTCGGAGCACATCGTCGCAAGCCGACAGACGGTTTAATCGAGTAATTAACCCGGAGAAATCTACGTTAGTATGTACGCTTTTAGGCGTTCAATTGTCGGACAGGCTCCATTGTGTTTGTTAGACGCATGAAAGAGTACGCGACTGACGAAAGGACTCATTGGATACGTAGCGAGTATCACGTCGTTTTAGAGATGATTCATTCCTCTGTACACTCCGAATAATTGAATTAGTCATTTTTTCGTAAAAAACGATCCGAGGCGCCCGATAGATGATGCATACTCACGGCGGGATTTAATTGGTACACCGGAAATTATACTCAGCCGAGGATGCTAATTTTTCTCGGAATAAAAAACTTATCCGTGTTTACATTTTTCCTAACTAATTACATATGCTGAATCGACATGTATCGTGATGGTAATGCTGGGTCTATTATTCAATATCGGTGTTTACCATGTTTCGAACCATTCTATGCATATCGCGTGAAATTTGATAACCTCCTCTATTTAATATTCAATATAGGAACTGTTGATAAGGGGAATAATTACTTTCGCCTTGTGTTCGGTATTATTTTTACGATCTGGATCGGTAGGCTCGAGGAAAGAGAAGTTGATGAATATATACAAGTATCCTCGTGTTAATCAACCAGTCAGTGTGTCTGAGAGATTAAAATTTCTTCCACCGTTGAATAAGCGACTTACAACGAATTACTTTTTATCATACTTCGTATCGTGCGAGCTCATCGTGTTCATGGGTTTTTTCCAATAGTGAGAGCGATAGTCGACAGCATAGAAATTGGCCATTGTCAACGCAATTTGTAATACCTTAGAAATTGTTTACACGACAGGGGCTCGCCTTGTGACGCAAATATCTATCTCGGAAACGAGAAAAAAGCGGGTGCTTCGATAAAACTTCGTTACACGAGATATTCGGTACAAGTTCAATGATAATCCATCATCCGACCGTGTCTTCGTTATCGTATTCGACAAGACTAATCGCCGTTTCTCGCGTAATATTCTCTGTATTTTATAAATAACGCGAACACCGCTATTTACAATTTTCTCTCCGGCCGTTCGGCATCCTTGAACCGTTGAACAAATGCGTTATTTTACTGGAAGACTTATTGTTATCGCGGGCCATAAAAGTCCCTGCTCTTCAAGCCGAATTACAATAACGGGACAGACATGAATAAATGGAGCGTCGTTGCTGATAACATCGCGCAAGATTACGAGTCGTAACGAGAGATAAATCTGTATGGAATTTTTACGAAGCATCGCTGTTTGTTTCTTTACTTTTCTTGATCGTTCGGTCATTTCTGATCCGAGCGTGCATTCTAACAATAGGGGACGTTCTCGGATATCGCGATGCATTTCGATAATCCGCGCGCGCGACGATAACGTATCTGATAAAGACGATTACGACAGGCTAGATTACGCAGCCGGTTGAAACGAGATTTTTTGTCAGCGGCGAGAAAGAAACGAGAATCAAAGAGCAACGGCAATAATTGGCGACACGAAGTTTACCACCTGATCGGGGTAATAACGTCGCTGATAATGGCCGGCCGAGACGCATGTTTTCCATCGTCAAATGTGGACTCAGCGGCAAGGTTCGAGGCTTCGAGAGTTTACACGAAGGAGGAACTCTTCTATTTGCGGACTTATCGTTTTATTGGCCGTATCTGGATGAACGCTTAAAGAAAGAAACGCCAAGGTGTGATCGATAACGGAACAAGCACCACTCGACGGCAATCATTCTTCTCGATCCTTTACACCTTATCGTCCAGATAATGATTATTTATGCGTACGAAAAGAAACGAGATTACAGACAGAACACCTTGAACCTTTGTATGTACTTGAGCCGGAGGATCCGGTTAAACAATAAACTTCGCTGAAAGGCGTGATTACTTTTCACGTAATCTATTGATTACGTTGTTGATCATCGTTCCATGGATCAACGATCAAGCTTTGTCTTCTATCGTCTTTTTTCTAATCGATAGATGTTTAGTTAATCGTTGCATGAACACTCTCGAACATCCCGATCGTCTTGTCAGCATGTTTGTCCTCGGTGCTCATCCTTTTGTTTGCTTATTCGTTGATCCTGACGGTACGTTTCGAATATACTCGCGTCCTCCGTTGCCGAAGCGCGCACCACGCGTTGAAGTCTCTCGATCAATGGACCCTTCGGCAGCGAGAGCCACGTGTATCTCGACGACCTCGACACTATTCTGACATTCGAGAGTACTACCTTTTTTCTTTCACTCGAATGAACTCTATTACTGCTCGTCTTATTTTGTACCGGAGACCAAGGTCTAGACTACAGCGTTCCTTTCGATGGAGTGTAAATTGACTCGCTCGAAGACCAATGCCGTCGACTCTACTCCTTGATACTTCCTGATTTTTGTCAATTCTAATGGAGTAAATAATATTCTTTTTAATTACTCAAGAATTTACTCGTTTCTTCGTTTTTCTAAGAGAAAGCTCTTCTTTTTATAGCTTCAGAAGCCAAAACATTAATTCTCCAATTTTTTTCAACAGCAAAAGCACTGTTACTCGTTTTCGAAACGCTTGTCGCGGAGGAAACGCAACAGTGACGGTGTATCGTTTGTTATATGTAATACGTAGCATGCAAATTGCTCGTGTAGTCCATTATTTCATGGTGAAAAACTATTTTTTGAACTTCGCAGGAGAGCCTCGGCGGCAATTCGAGAACAGCGATGCTTGGGACCGTGTCGCCGGCCAACATACACGTGGAAGAGACGCTTGCGACCCTTCGATACGCTTGTCAAGCCCGAGCCATTGTTAATCGCATACGAATTAACGAAGATCCGCACGAGAAACTGATTCGGTAACAACTTTTCATTATCGCGCGTTTCCGTTCGATCGGAAGATACGGAGATAGGTTCAATTACGGATTATATCTCGAAGAAATCCCCTAAAGGGGTAAATCGTGTTGCCTGTCAAGAGCATGGGCGATAAAATTGATACTGGTATTAATATCGTATTAAGATTCATAGTCTAAGTACGTCGGTGCTATTGCGCGTGCATCAAACGAATGACACTTGATTTTTATTATCTTGAAACTTTTTCCTTTATCTCGTTTTACGTTAACGCTTTGAGTCTTCGATATCTGAGATCGAAAGGAACAAGCAAGTCATTTGATTATTCGAATAACAAAAGACTCATCCGTATGTTTCTCTTTTCTAATATTTAAAAGTTCGATATGTAATTTAGACTGTTACGAAGGTCTTTAATGTTTCGGGTTTTCATTTCGAAAAAGGAAACAGTAGCATGGACCGAGGTTCGAGCTTAAATCGGCGAAACAAAAGAAAATTCGTTTGTGGCGTCGCCGCACGTATAACCTAATGATTGTTAACGGGTGCAATTACGCCGAAGGCATCGTTTTATTTCGTTATGGTTCTCATTTTCCCGTTTCAGCGAGCTGAAAGCGGAAGTTCAACGGTTACGCGGCGTCCGCGAAGGATACGAGAAGCAATTGGGGATCGTGCCCCGAAGGCTTTTAGATTCCATTCAACCGAATGGTGAAAATAGTAATGAGATCAAGCAGAAACAACAGGAAATCGACAAACTGAGGGATCAGTTGAAGAAAACCGAGGAACAACTTTCCGCCACTCAGATGTAAGTGAATCTTACCAGAGAACTTACTGAATCTCCTCTTTCGCTTGTGAGTTTATCTCGTTCTCTCCGATCGCATTAAGGATCCGATCATTATTATTAGACTCGTCCGTTCTGTATTGAAAAAAAGATATAAACGGAACGGAAGTTACTTGCGGTTAGCCGTAAATTCAACCGGAGCTTCCGGCAGAAGGAAGAACTGTGTTAGCTCTTGATGAAAGCGATGAAGAGTATTGCTGAATATTTTTTTATTACTTTGTTACTTTACTGCTTGTAGATGAAATAATAGATTAAAATAAATTCTGATAAGGGGAGGCCAAAGTAATTTGCGACTCAACGAAAATTTGTAAGGGAATTAAACGAGAAAAGTACACGCGGTCCGGAACGATGGATACTTAAATAATCAAGTCGCCCATGGAAACTAGGAATTTAGCTATTCATGATTGCAGGACATGGTCGAAAAGGCTACGGGAGACGGAGCAGAGGAAAAATTCGGAGTTAAAGTATTTGCGTCGCTGCGGGATCGCTATCGAAATCGATTTCCAAGAGAAGGATAAACAGCCTTGTTTGATTAATCTTGCAGCCGATCCTATGTTGTCTGGAACACTGTTGTATCTGATTCCTCCTGGATTGGTTCGCATCGGCAAACAATCTGGGCCCGAAGGTTCCTCCAAAAATTTGGATATTATGTTGGATGGACCTCTCGTTAGACCTTTGCACTGGTTAGTTACGGGTCGTTCGCACTCTGATGGCTCAGTTGATATGAAGATCCATTAGACTTGCTCTACTTGTCCATAAGTTCTTGTTCCCCTTTTTGCTTGGTAGATTTTTCATGTGTTACTGGTGTGGCGTGTCTTGATGTGTGATATTGGAATACAGTGTCTTCGCTGTTTGTCCTCCTTCGTTGTTTTTTGTCGTCGTTGCATGTCATTTGTCTGTTCTATCAACATAATAGACCTCAGGTGGTGAATCTTGGATACAAAATAAATTATAATTAAGATTGCATGATAGTCTTCCGTATAATACAATTGTTCTCGAGCTTGTTCACCCTTTTGCTTTCATTAATTGGTCGATCCCCAGGTATTTCCATGAGTGATCATCATCTACAAGGTTTCTAACGTGCTTGCAACTGAATTTTTTTATCATATATACCATCAGTATAATATCGTTGCTTTAATCGTGTTTTATATATTTGACAGCACCATCGAAAATAGTAGTGGGAAACTTTTATTGTCCTCTGAAATGGATGGAGATACCTATGTCAATGGACAGGTATAACGTATTTTATGCTTATCTTACACCATCTTATTATTATGCGTCCACTGTTTTACAGTTCTTCGTTTCTGTTGTAGATCGTAACTGGTAAAGTAGTCCTCAAGCATGGTGATCGCTTAGTAATCGGCGGCAATCATTACTTCAAAGTCTCAAATCCCTATGACGGGCATAGCAATATTCAGATCTCCGCGCAAACCGTGGATTACGAGTTTGCCTATCAAGAAATTCTTAAAGTGCAAGAGGAAAAGTAAGTACTTTCCAAATGATACTCCTGTGAATTGGAACATTTTTGTATATAAATATTCAATGCAAACTTGTATTTAAAGATTAAGAACCGAGCTTGAGGAAAGCAAACAAAAAGCTATAAAGGAACTAGAGAACGCGAAACGTGAAGTTGAGGTACAATTGGGATCCCAAAAGTTATCTTATGAACGCAAGATTGAAATTCTTGGTTCTACAGTGGAAGAACAAAAGCTTGCATTAGAACAGATTCATCAAAAACAGAAAGAATTGGAATTGGAGAAAGAGTTGCTTGTAAACGAGGTTGAAATAAACAATAGATTAAAACAGAAGCAATCCGAGGAAAAGAAAATTATTGTTACGCCGTATAAATCCAACTTCTTGGAAGAATTAGAAAATATTTTGAGTGAGAAAACAGCAGATGCTGAATATGCTCTTAAGATGAAAGCAAGTGCCGATGCGATCAGCTGTGGTGGTATTACTTTACATGAAATGCAATTGCTGGTAAGAGAAGCTACCGAGCGATGCAGGGAAGTCGGAATTAATTATGTACGTATCTATTAGTCAGATAATATACAAATCAGTATTCGTAATAGTAGCAACAAATTAGAATATTTATATTTTTTATAGAATTATATAATTGATTATTGTATTACAGGAATTCGATCAACAACAAGTAATTGTAAATAAAAGTCTGAAACCAACGATTCGTATACGTAACAGAGATTGCATGAAGGAAACATTATTGCAGCCTATGAAATTTTTGGATTGGGTACATCGTTTGCGAGATTACGATATAGAGGATTCGATCAAAGAATTGTGTACAACATTGGATGGAACTTGGGAACGCTATGAAAATACAGAAACTTTTGAAGATTCTTTGAATAATAGTCGAATATCTATAAATATGACACCAGTGAAAAAGCACTTGAACGAAAGTTTACAGCAGCTGTCTGCGGATACATCAGTGCTAGGGGTTACATTTAATAATCAGACATTCGACGACACCAAGGGACAAGAAAGTATAGACAACTGCCTTATGCAAATGGAGCTCGCTGCAAAAACTTTACGAAGACTGTGCGTTAAAAATAATGAAATTCAAAGAGTTACAGAACCCCTTGACGACATGCAGAATATTATTGATAATTTGCGCAAAACGTTAGGGGTCAAAGGATCACATACACACGAAGATAAGAGTCCAAATCGTACCCAAAATAACGATGGAACTGTAATTGAAAAGTCTGATAATATAAACGTAAGTCCTTCGCAGGATTACAGTAAAGATCATACAAAGCCCGTTAATTCACCATCGAAGTCCACATTACGCAACAATAATAGATTATTCGATAAAATAATTCAGAAAAATGTGAGATTCAATGATAAATTAAAGAAAGAACTGACTTAGTTTAAGAAGAGATAATACTTAGATTAATTGAATTTTTACAAGAGATTATAGTTAAAACAACTGAACAAATTCTATGAATACTCTTGTGTGAATAAAGAATGTACATTTCTTTACAATAATACGAAAGTTATACAAGTTATTTAAGATGTTAAAAGAAATTTTATTTTACGACACTTGTATTAAGTATCACCAAAAAATACTTTCTATTTTCTAATATAAAATATTGAATAATAATTCTAGCATTGCAAACGGCATTCACTATCCTTTTTTATTTTAATGTAGCTAATTTATGTACACTTTGTATATTAAGTAATAGATAATAATAAAATGAACTACAATTAAAATGACTTACATAGTTAATGATATAGTTAGTGATTACGGAAATACGATAAAGAAAAATGTATTTATTCTATCTCCATGTACAACTAATCGAAATAATCCTCAATGTCAATATCAGGATTCAATAAGTCTTCTCCATAAATACTTAAATCCAATTGGTTTAGTATTAAATTCTCACACATTTCTTCCAAGTCGGTTTCTCCGATCAATACAGCTCCCTGCATTTTACCATCTTTTAGTACTAGTTTTACATACTCTTCTCCTTTAGTCATCCGTAACAAAATCTCATAATTATTATTCAGTTTTTGTCCATTGTATAGACCAAGCAAAACTACTTTATAACCAAAGAACTTTGTTACATGAGTAAAAAGTTCGAAACAGAAATCTTGCAAGAAATCTTCATTTTTCAATACAGAAACCATAGATTTTGCAGCATAACGGCCCATTTGATAAGCTTGAGTCCATAATTTCATTTGGAACCAATGTTCCGGTATCTCCCACCCTGCACAGCATACATCTCCAGCAGCATATACATCATGTTCTGAAGTTTCTAGTTTCCAATCTACTAATAGCCCCCCATCTTCTCCTTTTTTAAAATCTTCTAAACCTAATATGTTAGTGTTCGGTATTACACCTGTTGCTGAAACTATAAAATCGCACCCGATAATCTTTCCATTTGTTAATTCAACGTATACAGGCCAATCCTCTGTAGGATTATATTTTTCTTTTTCCGATGCGTCAAGAATTTTTAATACTTCAGATTCGTATTCAATTTCTACTTTTGCAGATTTGAAGGCAGTACCTTTTATATCGACATTATTGTGCCAATTTGGACCCAAAGCTGGTCCATCTTTTCCAACTGTTGTATCCGATATTGTATACCTCATTGTTTTAGATACAGTACTAGTACCAGCATTTGATGATGCATCGGTTCTGTATACTTTATCCATAAAAAATTCTGCAGCACCAGGATCGACAAATGTTGCTGAAATGTGTTTATCCTTAATTACCCATACTATTTCAATACCATCAACTTCGTGCACAATTTCGGTGGCGATACCACCGTTTCCAACTATTATTATTTTCCTTGAATTTTTTATCTTTTCGGAAAACTGAACAACTGACTCGGTATCCCGAATTCCTAAAACAAAGTTATTATTTTCTGCTATTAGCTTTGGTCTAGCTCCATTACAGAGGCACAATTTTTTATAAGTTATAGTTGTTCCATTTTTGGTGTACACTTGTTTATTTAGTACATTTATTTTAATAATAACATCATGAACAATTTTTATTGATTCATTTGATTTCATTAAAGATACTGCATCCTTCTCTTCAACATTGAATTCCATTAACGTTTTACCGAGCGGTACTATGTTTGTAACTGCTTTTATTAATGGACTAGCTGTAATTAAAATAGTATCTTCTTCTGGAGCTAGAAAACCTATACTTTCTGCGCAAGACACTCCAGCAATGCCACCTCCTACTATTAGAAACGTACAGTTCATTTTTCCTTTATCCATTTTTCTATAACTTAAAGTACAATGTAACCAAGATTTTTCTTATGATTATTTCCATTCATCGTAATCATAAATTCTCATAGGAACATCATACGTGAGAAAACCACAATCTTTTGCTTTCATTATAGCAACAAGCAATTTCTGATGAGCCTTTTGGCATAGTCCAGTTTTGCTGTAAATATCAAAAGTGAAAAGAAACATAAGGTATGTGTATATACATATTTTGTATTTTATAAATTTCAAATAAAATAAGACTTACTTAAAATGTAAAATTTCACCGCTAAATTCAGAGATGAATTGCTTCAGTAAATCGACATTAGTAGGATCAATAACTAGATATTCATCTCTGCATATTGGGCAAGGACTGCCAGTCGTTATTATATTATTCCTCTAAAAAATTATGTGCAATTAAGAAGATTAATACTATCATGTATTTGATATGATATTAACAATACGTACAATACAAGTTTTCCTTGTTTTCTTTGGTAAATAATGTCCTTTATAATTTCGTATGTACAATGACCAAACAGGAAGATTTCCGTACGTACGTTTGTACGCTAAAATATTTTTATACGTACGTTTAGTACATGTTACTATCAGCAGTTTATAGAAACTCACCATCACTTTTTAAATATTTTATACTAGTCTCAACTGGAATTACTAAACTCCTATCTTTTGTGATTGGAGTCTTAGGTTCACGAACCTTGTTTTCTTCTTCATTTAGATTGACTACCTCATGTGATTCTCCAAACGAGAAATGCATAAATTTCGCAGCTGTAACCTACAAAATGGTTTACACCTGTAGGGTTATAACGATATTAATATAATCACTTTATTTATTCTTACTTTTGTTATTAAATTCTTTCGTAAGATTGACTCAGCTAAGTGGAAACCGTTTAATAAAAGTGACATTGTTTCTATTTTAATGTAAACCCTTTTTAAAAAACTATATTACGCATCAAATGCTATTCCTATGATACAGAATTAAGACCAGTATAACTTACGATATTCAAACTCATATGATTTTAATTAGCATTGAAAATTATTTAAAATTTTAAGCATATTTTATAAGTATGTACATTTTTATCATTTTTTAATGTTATTTTATTCCAGAATAAGTAAAATATTTATTTCGATAGTGTAAAAGATTACCGTATAGTAATTTTCTTTAACTATCAAATTCTATACTCTTTTTATAAATATAATAAAAAATTTTTATTTCCACGGAAGAATTTATATTGTATTTAATTTATTTCTCTTTATTATAAATATAGTTTCTATAAAAGTTGCTGATTTGACACAGAAATAAATCTAGCACACCGGAAGTTACTCCGAAAATAATTTAACTACTTTATAACATTTAAACATTGTTTTAGCTTAAAGAATTATATGCAATTGGATGAAATATATTTAACTTTTTGTTATAATGTATTATAAATAAACAATACGAAATAATACTGGAATAAGTTACATAAAATGAACAGATATTTGATTCGCTTTGAGAGAATAGGATGTTTCCGGTTTGGATGTAACAGCAGATTCTACGTAGTTAGGTGAGGATAATTTTACTCAAGTTAAAAGTAAATGTTGGAACTGTTTGACAAGATATCACAAGAAAATCAACGATAAGGTAACAATAGTAAAATTTAAACAATGTTTGATTGCAGATGGCAGATCAACAGGAAGATTCTTGTGGATTCTGGACAATTTTATAGCATTCGCCGAATGCACCGTCCTTCCTAACGAAGCATAGGGCTACGTCATTTCTGTGTATAAGAAATGTCCAATTTCTTATGCACCTGTGATCATTTATTTTCCATAAAAAGGATTTAATTATTAATCAAATGTGAGTGGCTTTTCTGTCGTTCAAAAAAGCCGAAGCCTTATATATTATCTTAATACCGTTTAATTTTCGAACGATCTGTTAGGGGGTGGTACAGTTTTTATTATTCATCACGTATACGAAACTCTTAAGCAAAGCATCATAATGAGCGTAATAAAAAAAAATGGAAGAAACTTGATACGCAAGAATTAGATATCTATTGAAAGGTGAAACGATTAATGCATTAGTGACATAACATGATGGACAGTATCGTTGGGCCTGTCGAATTTTTATAAATCATATTTGCATGCAACACACGATGTTACGTTTCAAAATTGCATAAGTGCTAACGGAATTTTATTCGAGAGCATTATTAAAAAGAAGTGTTAGTGATATAAGGCATAAGGAAATTTCTATATTCAGTAAAAATTTCTAATAAGCACAAATGGACGATTATGGTGTGCTATAAATAGAAGTTGCTCGGTGATGTCAAGTGACAGGGTGGGGTCGTAATAATTATTGGTCGCCGTTCAGCGAGTCTCGAAACGTGATTGGTTGGTTGTGTAACCATTCTGGGTGGGATATGCGCGGAAGTATTGCGCAGGAAGAAATCTGCCAGTTGACCATCGAGTGAGCACCGTTGACTAGAGGAGCTTGCATCTCGTACTGATAGTTTTCATATTTGTAGCTTTCCGTTGCTTAATTTTAGTATTTCAAGTTCTTCCATGATAGGGAATGAATAAGAGCGATAGCGTAAATCGCATAAGCAAAGATTCGGTACGAAAGTCCTTTTCGGTATTATCGTTTCACATTCACGGTACAAACGATTTTCGTTATAGTACAATGAAAGGACAATGAGGATAGAGAAGCGTTTCAAGACATTAGTAATCGCGAGCGATTTCGGGTGAAAGTACATTTAGGCGTAGGTAAATTATCTTTTTGCAAACATTCGTTCTTTTTTCTTTTATTTTTATATCTTTTGTATTCGTAGAGACGAAAGTTTCTTACCTATCTCTTTACGTTCGTGAAAACGTCGACAATATGGCGGTGTAACGTGTTACGCTCAGCCTTCGTCAACTTATGTTAAAATCTTTGCCCACAAAAAACCCGAGTATCTTTGTGTTTCATTACAGATTTTCGACATGATCCTATGTTTGTACTTCGATATGCGCTAAATCGTCCAGAATAACGTCAAAATGGTAAGTTGCATTTATTAAAATTAATTTACTTTCCCTGTGTTTCACGAGTTTTTTGAGAGAGGGCGCCATATGCTTAGAAATGCGATGAACTGGCGATGGAGGGGGAAAGCGGTAGGATCAATAACCTTCACTTAACATGACCTCGTATCCTATTTCTGGCACTACGAACTTTTTAATGATCGTACAATAAGAGCATTTTGGTAGTGTAATGTTGGCTTTTCTAAAATTAATTTAACATACACTTACGATATACATGTCCGAATATAAAAATGGGGAAGGTAATCTATCCTTATGCTTCTGATTTAGTCTCCGTTCGTACACGTTTTGATGTCTTCTTTTTTTTACGATCGAAAATTTTATTACTTTAATTCATTTAAT